GGAGGAACTCAACGACTGGGAAGCCAATCCTGATGTCCCAACAATGCGGCTTTATCGCTGCTGGGATAGCTCCGCAGTGATCAACACCACTGACACGTCCCGCAATGTCAAGGTCACCAAGGAGGGGGGAACTGTCTGCAGAGCAGGCAGCGGCCATGATGTTGGGTCCCCATGTTTACTCAATGTTTTTGCATGTCAGTTGGAGAAAGATTAAAGATCCTTTTGGCAAACATTGAACCCAACTCTGAGGTCGAACCCAGCATCGATTGATCCGGCTTTTCAACGCGAAAACGCTGCCTTGTCGGGATCTGGGGCGCCATCACATCCTTCTCCACCACCGCCGCCTCCGCCGGTGATCCCAAAGCCAAAAAGAGCTCCCAAAGCGAAGACACCATCTCAAGAAGCCAAAAGTGTTCTTTGGTGTATATATAATCTTTAGTTTCCAGTAACTTCGAAGTGTTTAGTTTAGATTGTTCCACTGGTCACAATTTTGGGCTTAGGCGATGACTATTGCAAGCACCATGATCTTGGAATGTGAAGGCTTGGTGAACCGTTCACTTGTTTATAGAGAAGCTGTCTGATAACATGAGTTGTGAATTCATCCCAGGCTGGAGTACGAAGCTGGCGATTGCAAAAGTGCCCCAATCTCAAACACCCATTGCGAGATTCCCCAACAAATGCCATTCCACCAACGCCACCGGACCACTAAGGCCAGAATCCATCCGCAACGCCGCTACTGCTGATTTGGCGTCTAATCTTGAAGCCCTCAAGAAGGGGCGACATGGGGTGGAGGCAGGGTTAGTGTACATGGGTGCAATTACAGTACTTTTGTAGCACATTGCACACCCGGAATCAGCTATGGCCCTTTTGCAGGCGTGCGTGGCCCGTGGTGATGGTCCTGAGGCATTGATGATGCACACGAATGTGCTAACAAAGGCCATTGCTGATTACAAGCATGCTTCCAAGACTGTGAAGGGGTTGGAGCAGCAATCCAAACCTAAGATCCCGAAAGGCAAGGCCAAAGCCGAAGCCAAAGCTTAGCCAGTGTCTTGACCACTTGGCCAAGCGCAAAAATATGTTTTGGAAGGGGCAACAAACTCGGCCACCTGCGCTTAGAAGTGTTTGTCAAGCTAGCTACTGGGAGTCATCCTGGCCATACACCTGTTCAACCAAACACTGATCAAACATTTTGTGTAGTCAATTTTTTTGAGGTTTCAGGATGCATAGGCTGGCTGGACATGCTGGCGCATGTTGCTGGTTCTTTGTTCTTTGGATCAACCCGATCCGAATCTACATTGATCCAGACCTAGAGCCTGGACATCTGGGGTGCCATTGAGAGTGTGTTGAAATACATGAAAAATACTTCAACCTCACTAGTGTATTGCAAGTCACTACTTCACTGATGGCTGGCCCAGACTACCGGGAACCGTCGATGCTCAGAAGAAATGCAGGGGCCTGTGAGTGGTTGCCCCTCCCAGGACCCACCACCCACAACCACCAATGCATCTTGCATGCCTCTCCCTCGCAGGAAATCAGACGGCGCTGGCGGGGCACCTCATAGCAACATTGGGCAGAGGAGTGATTCGAATGCACGTTGATGAGGGCTTGTGTTGGAAGTTGGATTTACCGTTAACAAACATTACAAGTTAGGTTACTTCCTGCGCATTCTTCATAAATCCATTCACCCAATGCACCAACAAAGTCCTCAAGTCCCACTCTTGAGCTGAGGCATCAAGTTGCGCCGACCTGCAAAAAGCTGCTGCCGCAGCAGTTGCTGAAACTTGATAGCACCTTCTTCGGCCGCTGTGTTCAGAACAGTTGCTTTTCTCCTTGAAGTGCAGTTAACAACCGCTTTGATCGGTCAGAACGAAGTTGTTCACGATCCCCACCATGTGTTAAAGCCAGTCGGGACCCAGTGCTCTGTGTTGACCACACGTCTTGTTGCAGCGTGTAGCGAGGAAAGCCGTGGCCACTGCAGCCAGCTCACGAAGAAACTGGCCAGCATAGGGTCACGAGGCCGTCACCCGCAGAACGCTGAGCGAGATCTTTTCAGAGTTCTTCAGCTTCCACTAGAACCCTTGCCAGATTCAAATCTACTGTTTTCTGTTCTTTGCCAGTGACAGTTGTGGCCTATGTATACTTGACTTGACCTCACAGAGTTCAACCAATATATTGAATCAGGACATTCATTTTGTGGACATTGACGTGAAGGACATGACAGACCCCAAACACAAGACCGAGAAAATGCGAGTCCCTATGTTGCTTCCTCACGAGCTCCTCAACTTTTTGACTGAGCCTATCCTTGCAACAATCAGTTTTTGTAATGTTGAAGTGTTCTTAATTATTGGGTTGTGTATTTGTCTCCAAAGATCAGGCGTTCAAACATATATATTATAGCTGGGGTGATGTTGGGTAAGGCGAATGACAAGATCAATGTGATTGAGGCCGACAAGGATAAGTTCTGGTCCCACTACAGAAGCCACATTGGGTCTCACCCAGCGATTGATCACCATGAGCTAAATCCCCAATCGCGGTGGCATCAACCAACTGGAGTTTCTGGGGATGATGCTCGCTATACGTTGGCAGGGCGCAAAATCATTATTTTGATGGTTTCTTCAATCCTCCAAAGAAAAGCAAGCTTCTGGCCTGCAAAGCAATGTTGATTTGTGGGATTGACTTATCGCCACAGGTTTTTTTTCACCACCAACTATAAGTCTCAAATCAGGTTTGGATCTCTGCAGATTCCCTTTCTTCGTTTTGCGTCATGAAGTCAGCCTGGGCCACAAAACCATGGCTCCTATTTTCAGAATTGCAGCATGGAGCTTGAATGCAACTAACCTCAATTAAGTCTTGTTTGTTGGGTCTCCCGGCGCGCATATCTTTCATCGCCAGATATCGCCAGCCACTGCCTCAGCTCGATCTCAGGTAGCATTCGCTGGGTTTTGGCCTTCATGTGGTGTTGATGGCACCCCGCTTTCTGACCCGAAAGCAATGCGCAGAGCAGGGACTCCCATGGCTGACAAGTGGGCCGTAACTGAGTTTCGTGGAGACTGGACACTGGAGTTCCCAAACGAACAAAGTTTTGCTATAAATTTCAAAAACAACATGTTGATATCATGTACGGTTTATGTGCACCTGGGGCTTTAAAGGGTATGTTTTGCTCAGATCAGGAAGTTCCACGCTGAAACTTGGAGGCTTCGCAAATACTACTTGTCGAATGCTATTTGCCACAAGTGCAAAGCATCCAGGCTGGCTGGTCGCCATCAGCACCTCTTAAAGCACAAATTTTCCCCATAAAGAATGGTTGCCTTTTGATCAATCCCCAGAATACTTGTCGTCACACCTTCAAGCCTCCGGATCCTAGGTACACAACCTTCAGGAATTTTGACCAAACCCCGCGATTCAGCACTGCGCAGTTCTACACACAGTGTGTCCATGAAGTTTGCCCTCTGGCATTGGTGGCCGGATTCCGACCGGACATGCTGAAATTTTGCGTGATGCATAGCGTCCACCTAGGTATCTGTCAATGGCTGAATGCTTCAGCAATCTATGAGTTGATCCAATACAACTGTTTGGGTCCAGGTCCTCTAGGCCAACAACTGCACGAGTTCACTCGTCGCCTCAACACGTGGTGCTCCATGTCCCAAATAAGGTGGGGGTTGAAATGTCAGACTTTTCAAAAAACCTGTGTTTAACGGTTCAACCACGTAACGTGGATGTCAGGCACTACCAACCTCATATCCCGACTGCATTGATTGTGGTTGCAGCGGGTGAATACCCTGAGCTACGGCTCAAGGCCTGGACCTCCCGTGTCATAACGGCTTTTTTGGCAGTTTGTCTTGGAGACCTTTGCCAACGGTTCGATGACGCCGAGCGGCCAGTTCAACTCGCGTTGGCTGCGGCTAGCTGCATGAAGCTCTCAGAATGGATGTTGATGATGGAGCGGTATCCAAGGTTTTTGACTCAACAACAGGCTGACCATCTTTGTCAACTATGTTGGGAGTCCTCTAGCTGCAGATTGATTCATTTTGCAGGGGTATTAATTAGTGTGGAATCCCAAAGTGCTCAATATCCTGAAAAGGGGAAAGAACTCTTGACCGAACGCACAGGTTCCTGGATGTGTACCAAGCGTTGGCAAACCGATGTGCTTCTGGAGCGATCCTTCACTACCCCATCAAGCCGAAACATCATGAATCTGGTCCAAAATTAGTGTGTAATGTTTCTTGTAACAACTGTGGTTTCCCAGAGGCTCCAATGTAGTCAACATAAATTTAAGCTTTAGCTTGAAGAAAGAGCTGTGCAGCCATAATTCAGTTCAGGCATTCATTGAGATCAATGCCGAGATGAAGGTCCACTTGATCAATGCTAGGTTTTTCCACACATACCTAGATGAGGATTGCATTGGCAGTATCAAGGGAATTGCTCGCCGATGCCACCGGGCAATGTTGGAACTCAGAACGTTGATGCGGTGGCTCCTTCGAATGAAAGTTTTCATGCGCCACTAGCTATTTGACCAGCGCTTTTGCCAGAGAGGGAGAAAAATGGGATAAAATGGGTCAAATGAGGATCCACTCGGTGGGCTCGAAGTTCTCGAACCTTTATCAACTTTGGATGTGCTTAAATTTTGAGTACGTATAGGGTCTCGAAGCCAATGTCCAAAATAATGGACACAAAACCAAATGTATGCATATGCTGACTACATTGGAGCCTCTGGGTATAGATTTCTGAAAGCCTGTTGCACAAATCACAAATGCAAGTAAACACCTGAATGGTTGCACATGATCGGACTGGAGCTGCGCCAAAGGTCCAGTTTGGGACATGTTTTAAGGTATTCTTGACTTGTTGGACTCAAAGCATGTTGTGTTTCACCTTGTATCATTCATCCCATGCAGTATTTTGGTCACCGGTTGTTCAAGCGGTGAAAAGCATCATGCACCATCAAAAGTCGGTCAAGTCGGTCACCGCATTCACTCCAAAAAGCCTTCAAGGGCATCTCCCAGGTGATCTTTTTCTTTGACTTCGGAACTGGTGCTTTCGGCCTCCTGTTTGCCACCACGGTGGTCTACAGCTGTGCCAGCCTCTCCAACGGAATTGCCGAGGGCTGGGCCTCCCGCGCGGCCCAGGAGGGCACGGACTTCAGCAACGAGGTGGGCGAAAGCTTCCGATGGAGAGCGGCTCCAGCAGCTTCATGTGGAGATTGGGTAGATCATACAGGGTTTGGAGCATGTTGGAGCTCCGAAAGTAGGTCCATGTCAGGAGTTACATGGAGTTAGCATCTCTAAAGCACCTGCAAGACATGTGGTTTGAACGTCTACCTAGCGGATGGTCGACATTGGGGGTCGTGACCAAGTGCCCGATGATTTCGGCCTGAACACTACACTTGATACTGGGAGGTCAAGCTACATGCTATAGAGCAAGCTTCAGGGTGTTGACCCACATATTGCAGGTGTCCCGGTGTCCCATGGTGTCCCTGTCTTTGCGCCGGTCGAGGTCGCTGGATAGGTCCGGACAACCCACTCACGCATCGACGCAGAACAGCCCAGCCCAACGGCGCGTGTATTGGCACTGACAACACGCAATGACAACACCCAATGTAAGCACTATATAGTGAGTTGGCAGCAGTTAGAATTCACTAAAACCATATTCTAACTGCTGCCAACGCACTATACGTACAATGGCAACGCGGCAACAGCAGCAGCAGACAAGAAGCAATGACATTGGCCCGACATGACAGCCGACAACAAAGATTGGAACGCACAATGGCAACACCAAGCATAAGCACAACACGCAGCACTCGACAGTGCACAAGGACAAAAACAGCAGACAGCAGACAATGACACAAACAATGGCAACACAAAACATAGCCACAACGCATGTAACAGTTGACAAAACACCACACCACGACAGCAGGCAACAAGCACTGTGACACACACACAATGACAACACAACATCAGATGTAACCACAACACACCGTGACCCAGGTATGCCTCGCCAGTCACCCCGCTCCACTTATCCTACCAGTGCACCTGGGTCACCTGGGCGGGTGAGGATAGCTCAAAGTAAAGCTGTTTCCCACCTGCCGATGAGATGGCCACAGCGAGTGCCAGCTCAGTCTGGGCACACACGGACCCGCACACCATAGAGAGCGCCAGCTCGGTAGTGGCACGCACGGACCTGAACACTATACGGAGCGCCAATGCTGTCTGGGCACGCACGGACCTGAACGAGCGCCAGCGTGGTCTGGGCACGCGCGGACACGAACACAGGCCATTTCAAATAGAATGCGGCACAGGATGTCAGAAGATATGCTAGGTAGAATGACAGAAAGGATGTCAGAAGGTATATCCGAATCTGCCAGAAAGGATATCATAAGATGAGAATGCCAGAAGACAGAATGCTGTAAAGGATGCGAGAACAAAAGCCAGATAGAAGTCCGGAGGGGATGTTCAAACGAAGATATGCAATTTTCGAAGGTGAGAAGATATGCCAGCTAGAACGCAGAACATGCACTAAATAGACCGCCAGAAATTGGATGCTAGACGACATGCCCAATAGAATTCCGGAAAGGAAGTTAGAAGACATGCCAAAAAAATGCCAGAAGATAACTCTGCAGGCCATAAAGTCATAGAGCATGCCAACGCCAAGTCAGATATGCACTTGTTCACCACACGGCACGTTTGATGGCAGAACGCTACATATCATGACCGAGGTCGGACCATGTGCTAGTGCATGCCATTTTGATGCGAGAGCACATGTCATGAGTCCATGCCAGAAGAATCGTCAGGATACATGTCAGACTTCACGGCAGGCCAAATGTCAGAACAAATGCAAAAAGGGAAATCAAAACACATTCGGGAACATCTCCCCTTCTATCGGGATTGTTCCACGTTCCTTATGCAAATCCAAATATTCGGTTGCCCATGGGTGCACCTTTTTTTCCGCAACAACGGACTAAGTCAACAAACAACAATCTGCTCACGGGAACTGAGCATCCGGGTTTGCTCAAAGACCCGTATTTTCAACATCCCACGTGAAACATGCACAGTTTAACACAAAAATATTCGTCACGACCTTGGTCGCCCAGTAAGTAGCCTTGGATGCTGTCCAGTTTTGTTCACGATTTCTCCATCCAGGCCTACCGGACCCTTAGCATGTCCTTGTCCTACTTGGCGAGTTTCATGGCCTCTGTGGTGGCGCGGGCCTTCCTGGACCTTGGGGGGCGAAATCTCTACGCCGCCCTGCAGCTGGTGATGGTGACTTTGAGCACCATCATTGCGACTTGCCGCAAGCAGCAAAGCGCCAACAAGAACAAGATATGACAAATGTTTTTGATGTTTTTTGGCAGGATGAAAACACATGGTGACACACCCAGAAGCAAGGCATGTGAAAAGAAAACCAAACACGCCGCAGTGGGCAGGATCGTTAACTTTGCGGTTGAGACGTTCAGTGCAACAATTCCCCCTTGTAGATCTTTTCTTCTTATACGTACTTACATTTTTTATATATAGGGAGTGTGTTTTTTTTTTTTAGTGTCATGTTTTGTAGAATCTTGGGGCCCCCCTAGTGTCCAACCTTTGGGTTCCAATCTCTACCCTTGTAAATGTAGTTTTGTCATGTTTTGTGTGTTCTGTTTGCTGGAACTTCAGAAAGGGATATCCAGAGACCCACATAGACCAACTGTAACACCTCCCGCGAGCCGCTCATGAGAATATGCCGCTCGTGGTGCTTCCGTGTGCCACCGGTGGCCCTGAGGTCTACAAAGTTGTGTCCATGACTTGGGACCTGAGTCATGAGGTCACACAGAATGGCAAGGAATCGGGCAAGGAGGTTTGAACAGCGTGGAACACTCGGAGATCACAAGACTGAACGAACGGCGCGAGCCGGCGCGTTCTGGTGGCGCGCCGGCTCTGAAAGCGGCCGTGGACTGGCTCAGCGGAGGTCGACCCTTAAGAGAGGGTCGTTTGGCTCAAAAGATGTGCCAAAACATGTCAACACCGCGCATTGCGATATGGCTGTCAGGCTGTGAGTCAAAACTGGGTCCCACCCAAATTACTAAAAAAATACAAGCTCAATCCGGAGATGTGTTGTGCAAAAGCTGAGTGGCTTGGACGGGAGCGTTCTCCAGATCGGGCTGGAGGCGACCCACAGTCTTTTGGTGCAGAAGCCAAGCTAGCGACGATTTCCATGGACGGAGGGAAATGCATGGAAATCCATCACCCAAACATGTATAGAATAATACCATCCCTCAAAGAAGAATGGAAGCTGAGCAGACCCTGTAGAGGACCATGGCTTTTGGGGTGTTATTATCATTCCACTCATTCCACTTTCATGCTTTCAGGGAGTGTTTACATTGACCCCTTTTCACCCCGATAGGCCGATCATATTGGCCGAGTCTGGGAGTGCCGCTTCCCATCCGCCAGGCAGCCTTCTGGCGGCCAAAAAGGAAAGGGACGGCGGGGGGTAGCAGGGACGGCAGGTCCCAGACGATCGGCGGGGGTAACAGGCTTGAGCTACATGTACCAGCCAACACCACGAGTCATGTTGGGCAACTCCAGTTAGCAGGAACACCAGGCCACAGGCAGGCAGGCAACAACGGCGGGCTGTATAGGGATATAGGCGAGCCTCGGAGAGATTTGGATTGAACATGATTGAGCCAAGTACCTGCAACCTGGTCCTGCACCGATTCCCATGGCCTTCGTATTGGGTGCCACACTTTGGGGTGCCTGCGGAAGGTGTTTGAGGTTGACGGACGATGGACTTTTTGAGGACATGGCCTGGTTGGGGATGATTGAACATGATTGTTCAATGGGTGAGATATCTCTGGGAGGACATCAAGAGCTCCTTTGTTGTTTCATAGTTTTTTCATGTTGCTTGTAAGGTTTGGAAACCGACGCATGCCAAGGCGGCTTCAATGTTGAAGGGTTCCAAGCACAGGTAGCAGAATTTGATTTCTCACCCCCAACCCTGACATCACCTCAGCCTGGCATGCATGGAACTCAGCATGCATGGAAGCAGCGCATGCTCTGGGTTCGCATGCACATCCGGAAGGCACTCGCCACACAGTGGGGTGTCTTCTCTCCCCCCGAAGCATCGGGTTTCTTCCACCTACACCCGAAGCATCGGTATGTTCGTCCTCCGAAGTCCGGGTTGCTTCCAAAATGGATTCCTCCCAGACTCCCGGGCGTGGGATGGTTTGAAGGACATGTCCTGGTGGTTTTTGGGAATGTTTTTGTTAATGTGTTTGTCTTTTGTTTTTGCCGACAGGGGTTGGTGAAACAGGCGACAGAGGTGGTTTCGACAGCGTGTTTGTGGACAGGGTTCGGATGTGTGTCAACAGCATCTTGTTGGTTTGATGAGCCCTGCTGTGCTGGCTCAGGATTGCTCAGGTACAAACATAGAGACTTAGTTTATGTGTATGTTACGTACACTGTATTTGTTCATGTCGTGGCCAGTAGTTCCGGCAATCAACGTCAAACTATATTGTTTGTCTCGAAAGCAGAGGAATGGTAAGAGACTAGAGGCATTCAGGTATATTCAGGTGCTTTTGTTGCAAGGAAGTGTGTGGAGTGTCCAACGGTGCCCCCCAGATAATTATTCTCAAATTGGATATTTGGATAAGCCCAACTGCATAGATGCTGCAGATGCCAGCCATCATTCCGTGGGGTTGCCGACAAGCGAGCCAAGACTCAACCCGTTCAGGTCAGTCATTGCACATCCATCGCCTCTTTTAACCCAACTTGGGAGTTCAATCGACGCATACTGTCGGTCTTTGCATCGAAGACCTTGGAAAAGGTCCGCACGGTCTATGCTTGGGGCCTCCCGCTTCAGCTGATGCCAGAACATTCAACCACTTCATCACCTGGATCCGCCCTCAAATTGCCCTTCCTCTCTGTTGATCCCAGCATTTCTTTCTCAGCACGGCCATGGGAGTGCCTTTGCGGGCGGCCCGGGCCTCGTTCCCGACACGGACGGAGGGGTCGGTGTCGGAACGTTTGGGGGGTCGGTGAGCTATTCGTGAAAAGAACTGGATGACCCAGTACCCGGATGAAAAGATTTGACATGACATGCAAAAACAGGTACAAGTACACATGTTCTGAGGTACTGAAAGAGACACCAGGTATATAGTTGTGAACTTCTTTCTATAGAGTTAATATAGATTTAATATGTAAATCTTTAGCTTATAGCTGCAGGAGAATTTGCCCCCCCCACCTTCCTGCTTGGGTTTCTTCCAGCTGCAAAAGATCGCTTGGTCTCCGGGGGAGTCAGGATCAGGAGGATCAGAGGGGAAGCACCACAGTGGTTTCAGATCCGGGGCAGTCGAAGATGTCATCTGACAGATGGGCCGAACCACCATGCTGGTGGGGATTGTGCCCATCTGAAACCATCCATGACCCATCTGGTGACGTCTTCAATCCCATGCTGGTGAAACCTTGGTGCCCGGCTGATCGATCGTTTTCCAGACTCCAGACTTAACGGTTGCAACCGTTGGCTATCTCGCCACCCTTGCAACCGTTGTGTCGAGATTGTGTTTGTCCATGTGGAGTGTCAACTCATGGCCCAACCCGTGTTTGACGTGGCCTGGTCACCCCGGCGCCACGGAAACGGCGTCTTCCCCAGGCCACGTCCCATGGTCCGGTCGGTGGCCGACCCGCAACGGTGGCCGACTCTTCCGCCATACCCGGCGATTCCCGGCGATTCCGGTCGTGAATTTTACACTGCAACCTGATTCATGAGGTTGCAGTAAGTGTAAAAATTCACTCAACACCCATAGGTATGTATTGTCGCAGGGAATCATTGAATATGTCTATCTAGATGTGCTGTTGACTAGGCCATCATACTCCATCCTTATCCTAGGTTTACGCCCCTTCTTCGCACCGCAGAAAATGTGTCTTGCGAGGCTCGTCCAGCATGGCAACCCTTGGACTCCCCGCTTTGGCAGGCTGCACGCTCCATTTCGGCTTCGTGCCGTTTGTGGTGGAACATGCCCATGTCGGGCATCCTTTTTTCTCCATGACCATATTTGACCCTTAATTTTGTTTTGTTTTCCCAACTAGAAGAGGTGAAACAAGGCTAACCTCTATTTTGACCAAGGAAACTGAGTGAGTCAGCCGGAGTCAGCAACCGTCACGGGAGTGCCAGGATTCCCTGACGATGCATGACCACACATAGGTCACAAATAGAAATGATCTCAGGATATGCATACGTTTCTATTGATCGTGTTATTTGAAGACGTTGTCGAATCACAGATTGGAGTACCTGAAATGTATATACAATTCCAGTATCATTGTCGGAGGATAAGACCATGAAATCCCAAGAACCAAGCATACCAGGGCGTGACGAACCGTGACAGACCGTGATTGGTCTATTTTGTCCCTTTAAAAATGAGGTCATTGTCGGACTCCAGCGTGACAACCCGTGACGAATTTGAATTTGGGATCGTTGGTTTTGTGGTTTTGGGGTTCTGTGGTTTTGTGGTTTTTGGGTTCTGGTATGATCTCGTTTTTTGAGGTCGGACCTCACAGGGTGAGGTCGGAGAGCCCCAGAAGGCACAACCCCAAATGTTAGCATATAGAGCTAACTTTCGATCCTCAGGGATTGGTCTTCGAAAGTTTTGTGTTTTAATGTGTTTGACCATTTTTGACCCGCTTTTCACCCGATTTGTGTGCGAAGGTGGAGGTGGAATGGGTGCTTTTGATGTGGTTCGTGACCCGGTTTCGGTCCGGCCACAACCAACAGCTTCAGTTCGGGGTCACCTGGCTGGAAGACCCGGCCCTTAGACTACTTGTGCTTTTTTCAATGGACAACCCTTGGAAGGTCCAGGCATGTTGATAGACGGACATTTGTTGAGTACGAAATACGGAAGACCAATGCCCACGTACTGTGTCCGGAGTTGGCACTTGAAACCTCCTCCTCACAGACACCGGTGGACCGTCTTATACACCGGTGGACCGTCTCTGGCGGCTTGTTGCTCAAGAAGGCCTCGCGTCGGCATGGAGCGATCTATCGAACTTGGGGTTCGCGAGCGGCTTGGTCGCTGGACCTTCCTAGAGAGGTAGCCAGTGACCGGGACCATAGGACCGTAACCTGGGGTTCCCAACTGGGATCGTCTAGTTCAGGTCCTTCAACCTCTGTTGGTTCTGCAAAATCAATGACGTTTGGCAAGACGCGTTTGGTCGACCTGGACGCTTCTTTCGTCCATGTGTCAGCGGGGCCCTTGACGAAGAATCTCACTGCTGAGAGCTTTTCCGATCGCCAGGTATCCTTTACCTTGACGACCTGGCTTGCAGTGGGCTTCGTTTACGTTGTTTTTCTGGTACATGAACTTTACGCAAACCGGGTACAGCCGGTGCTTGTAAGCCACAGAGGCAACAGCCTTCGGTTTCAGAGCGCGCTGCTCTTCCGTTGGTTCTCCAATTTTCTGAATGATGCGATGCTCCTACCAATCACCTTGGATTTCGCCACCAGCATGGGACAGACTGCCAGCATGTCCGGTTTCTTCATTAGTTGTTCTTTGTTTGCCTCCGTCCTGGGGGTTGTCATGGGTCAGTGGATCGTGAATGAAAGCGCTTGGGACCAGCAGCGTGCCCGTGCCTTGATCCTGTGGTCGCCGGTCCTTTACACCGTGGTTTTGCTCTTGGAAGCCGCGCTCTCCAACGGTGCCGCGCAGCTCAGCGTGTCCAGCAAACAGGCCGGGTCTACCCAGACACTCCATGGGATTGGCATATCATGAATCATAAATATACCTACATTGATGCTAGAGGATCATCCAGAGAGGTCTACGGTGGATGTTCGGAGATGGCAGAAGCGAAGCTGGTCCTTTGTTGAAAGGAAAACCTTTGCTTTGGGGCTCTGTAGAAGATTTACTGGGTGGAACAACTGGTGGAGAGAAGAGCGCATGATGGTTTTTTTTAAATTGCTTGAGGGGCGTAGTGGCGTACTGTCATGTACACTTCGCATTCAACATGCTATATATTGAAAGAGATTGAAAGAGGTATCTCTCAGATGAACCGTGTCACATTCCATGATTGACTCCTTGAACTGCCTGGACAACTCCAAAACGGCCTCATGAACTACCTGAAGAACGGCCTGGCAGCTTGTTACATGTCTTCTCTCCAACGGTTCGTTTGCTTCGAAGACGGAGACCGAAGACCCGAACGACCCGAACGACCCGAACGACCCGAACCATAAGAGTTCCGGTTTGGAGCGGTGTCCTCTTTGCGTCATGCACCGGGTGGTCCTCGTTGGATCTCATGCAGGTGTTTGTTTTCCCAAATGATATGTGAAGAACAGAATATCAAACATTGATTCATTGATTTAAGAAAGACACATTGATTGAAGTAATGTGCTTTGGAAGGCTTGGGTACAAACCACATCAAAGATGATTGTTTGTGTCACAAAGATTTGTGTCGTGATTTTGAAAATCTCGATATGCAGGGCGGAATGTGTTCTGGCACTTACTTATTTTTGACCATTCCTGATGTCATTTTAGATAGCTTAGGTGGTCTTTTGGGTGATGATTCTGCTCTCCCAAGTGGCTGCCTTTGCTCCTTCCTTGGCCTATGTTCCGCTGATGGTCATGTGGGGCAAGTTCACACCGAAGAAGGAGTGGCTCAGAATTTGCCTTACGGGCCTTACGCTCACAAGAATCAACATAGAAACTGACAAACCACTCCCAGTACAGGAAATGCATCTTCCAAACCAACTCTCGCAGTTTCTAAGTTTGTTGAGCAAAGGAGAAGTCTCGACCCAGTTTGTTGTCCTGCATTTTGTACCTTGGGTGGATTCCAATAAGCTCATCCATGAATCACATTCTGATGCTGGCGCCTCAACCAGCTTATTCACCTGAACTTACACCGGTTTTCCGCAGGGTGAAGGTCCTTAAGAGGATCGAAGTAACATGGCGGTCGAGTTGAAGGTTCGGGTGATGGATCGACTGAAGGCCCACATGAGACCATCACCATCGCTACCCACACTGATAAATGTGCTTCAACTTTCGGTGGAGAAGTTCCGCTGGGGGCTGGCCTTTTGGCGATTCCATGAGATTCCAGCAAGCAACCTTTGTAGCCTTGATGTATCATTATAATTGATTTAACAATATATGTATATAAATACCTGGAACCTGAATGACCTCTATTTTGGACCACCAACCACCCAACACCTATCAAAACAGGGGTCATGTCTGGGTTCCAGGTATACATGATGTGATTATGAAATTATATGTTCATGGCACATGTAATTTTGGACATGTTCAGGCCTTGAACATCATTTTTCGCTTGAAAGAAGCCGTCTGCCAAATGGGTACTCGGAATGGTGAGAACCTGGAAGCCTTGGTGTTTTGAGATGTTTTGAGTGAGTTCTTGACCACAGAAACAGTGTGAGTTCTTCACCGACTCATCACTGTAATCCCGCCGACCCACATCGGGTCGACCCGAACGGCGTTGGTCTTCGGAAGCGTCGCGTCTTCGTCTTGCGTCCATGCCTTGCCTTCCATGTGGGTGTCGGGCCTTCTGAACCCGGGTGGAACAAAGGGTTTAGGTTACTTGGTTGAATGAACAACCGCATCCTATGCATTACCACAGGCACATGACATGTAGAAAAACCTGACTGCACCTAGGATAATTGAAAGAAAGAAAAGGGTGGGGGGCTGGAATGTTCATTAAGGAGTAGGTGTATGTAGTCGCAATATATACTGTATTAATTTTGGCTATATGCGGACAGATTGGAACAATACGGCAAAACCAATATTTGATTATCCAATCGATAATTCTAGATTTAATTATGTATTTATTAATTTTATCGTTTATATATCTAGATTTTACTAAATGCAAGTTTAATATCAGAAATAATTTCAAACAGATGCATTGATATCCGATGCAATTGCAATCATATTGAATATTACGATAATTTTTGGAGATATAGCTATAAAATGACGTGGCCATTGCGAAAGAAATTCCCCATTGTCCTAATTATTGCAAACCCTATCAAGGAATTGATCCATCGAATCAAATTTCATTTGGACGATTATTTGATTCGATATATGGTCCAATATATGGTTGGCTACATACAAACCCCTTTAGTAAGCCAACCATATCCAACCATATAAGCCTAAACCCTAAACCCCTTGTGTTTTTCTTGGCCAATTCTCTTTTGCCCAAGGATGTCCTTCTGGAGCGTCCTCACTCAATGTGCCCGTCAGGGGGGCTTTCTGGTTGGCCCTGCGGTCTTTGCGCTGCTTAGTCTTGCGGTCAAGCGGTCGCAACCGATGGCGCCTCCATCGCTCATGGCTTGGGTCTTGTTGGCACAGGCGATGTTTGGACCCTTGGAACAACCGGAACCAAGATTCAGTAACAACCGAGATTCAGATTGCATTTGTTTACATGTAAATCATGTGTTTTACATATTTGTATATATTTATCTACGTGTAAAACACACGAACTGTTTGTACATTTGTAAAACATGTAACAAAGAATCAGATAACTTGGCGCACAAGGTTGGTTTTTGGACTCCTCCCTGTTTTTTCGGCGGATCTACCTTGGAGCCGGAGCGAGTGACTGGCTAGTGAGAAAAGACGTGGAAGTTGAACATAGATCCTTGGATCCAAGGTGTTTCCTTGGATCTGAATCACCACTGAGGCTTTCGAGTTCAGAGCTGGATCCAATGCAGAGAGTTATCATTATGGATACCGTGCAGTCGCATATGAGCCACGTTTTTTTTTGCAAATGATTAGGTTTATACAAAAAGGGAACTGTTGAGAAGTCGCGGAGGCTGTTCTGCTTGGGGCGTAGGCGTCGTGTAAGCATTTTGCGTAGGTGGGTGTTGAAAGATTTGCGTAGGCAGTCTTGCGTAGGCACCCTTTTCATGAAAGCCTGAATTTTCTTATTCAGACTTCTTTAAAAGTTGTTCAAGGGTCTTGGGGAAAGATAATGTTGGCTTGTAGTTGTTTAACTTGGCACTTGCTTGCAAATTCCAGTGGGGAAGGAAAATGAAAATGAATTGTAACGACATGGCTACAGTGGATGTTTGAAGTTTGTTTGTCGAAGCTATGGGGGCACATTGGTTTTTGAGGTCAAAAGCTTGATCGTGCTTGGTCTGGCACACCGGCTCTTGAGCTACAACTGTGCGCACCCTGTTGGTACCATAATCAATGGACCTATTTTCGCGTAGGCGCCGCGTAGGCGCTCGCGGAAGCAGCGCGTAGGCAAGAAGCTATTGGCTGCTGCTACTGCTTGGCTGCTGCTTTTGCTGCTGCTTGGCTGCTGCTGCTGCTGCTGCTGGTGCTGCTGCCTCTTGTTTTCTGCTGCTTGTTTGCTGCTTGTTGTGCGCTGTTTATGTGCTGCTGCTTCCACACTGTAATTGGATCGGCTTGATACAAAATCTATCTGGCCATCGGTAGCAAAGCTGTAAACGCCTTGTAAACAGGAACCTGATGTGACCCGGAACCTGATGTGACCCGGTCGCATCGGGCCACTACTTGCGGATTATATAGCTCTTCTATTTTCGAGTCACCTGATGTGACTAAAGTTGGTGACAGTACCCTGCGTAGGCATCCCGCGTAGGCACCTAACAAAGAGAACCTCTCGCGTAGGCATTTGCTTGGGAGGGGAGCCCAGGCGTAGGCACCCGCGTAGGTACAGACCCAGTGTATAAGCCCCACACCACAAAAAAAAACACAACTCATATGTGCAGAACATGCACCACATGTACCCTCAGCCCCTTTCGAGGTCAAAATAGAGCGCTGCCCATTTGCATGGCAGCGGAGAGCCGGACATAGGGCATCCGGCTCCAGACCCCCTGTCAGATTCTATAAGTCCCTTGCAGGGTTTGTTTTTTTTTTGTGTTTCCGTGTTCTGCCACTTATTGTAAGGGCTTCGCCCGGGTGCCGCCGACCCCTTTTCAAGAGGAGTGTAGCATGTGTAACTGAAGGCGTTAGTGTCGTTCCGGTGGTTGCCCGTCTGCGGAAAGAAGATGGGTGTTCTAGCCTTAGGCGTGGCCTCGGACAGGCTAACTGTGGCCTGTGCTAAAGCCCACAAAGGTGGAGATGCCAATGCCAATAAGGTTGCACTCTGCGAGGCGCCGAGAAGCGTCTGAGGGGGGCCGTCGCCTTCGGAAGCCTAGAAAAGAAGAGGCTGGCCTCGGCTGCTAGCACCGTACGTGGCAGCCCAGGCCATGCCAAGGCTGCGTGGCCTCGGACAGGCTAGCTGTGGCCT